ATATGTGTACTTTTCTGTATATACATTATGCTTCAATATTTTTTAAGTCACCTACAGGGGCTAGAGATGCAACTCAGATAGTAGAGTGCTTGCCTAGAATGCACAAAGCTCTCTTTGGGTCCAAGTTCCAAAACCACATAAATGGGGATTAGGGGCAAACACCTATAATCTTATAATCAGGAGACAGCAGCAGGACAATGACAAGTTGAAGATTAGCCTTAGCTATACTGCAAGTTAATGATACATAAGATCCTGTCTCATTTAAATACATAAACTTCACATAAAGACAGTGTAACTCATAAGAACATTTAATATTAAGACTATAATTTCTTGTAAATAAATCCTAAATACAGGACTCTCAAAAGACCAACTGGCTTAGACACTTTGTCTAATCAAATCACAATTTTTAAAAAGTAACATATTAGAGGATAGTGAAGAAGCTCAGCAGTTAAGAGCACTAGACCAGACTAGCCTCAAGCTTGAGGCAATCAATCCTCCTGCCTCTGCCTCCCAAGTACTGGAATTACAGGCACACACCATTACACCTAACAATGAAAGTAAATTTTCTTAGATTTATAATAATACGGTGTTATACAGAACATGTCTCCCCTTTTGAAAATCCATGCTGAAGAATTTAGGAGTAAAATGTTAGATATATAAGTTAAAATGTTTCACCCTTTGAAAGATAAAGCAAAGGAAAAACTAACATGGTTCAACTTAGAGGATGGATACACAGGTCTGACAACACCATTCTCCCAGCTCTTCTGTGTTGGATAATGCTCATAATAAAATCTGAAAACAATTGGTGAGTACAAAATCTGAGGCCACCAGGGCTATGACTATGTGTTTTTAGATAACTAAAAGCTAGAAGAATCATTGTCAATTATTTTACAAAACAACTGATGCTTAATAATTTTTATTAAATAGCATTTTTCTAAAATTCAACATCAAATTTAACAAAAAAATCACACTTATATTTACATAAAACTATTTTTAAAGCAAATATTGTTAAATATTGCCTTTATACTGTATTAAACACAAGGTAGCTCACAAATCACATATTTGACATATTATTTTCTGAAAAATCTGACACATTTCTGAAAGAAAATCATACTGGAAATATAAACTGAAATAATGTATAAATCCTATATAATCTTTCTATGTGCAACTACATGATACTTTCCTAAAAATGCTACTGAAAAAAGAAAAACTGATTTGCTATCAGGGATATTTATCCTTCTTTCAAAATTCTTAAGAAAAAAAGCCGGGCGTTGGTGGCGCACGCCTTTAATCCCAGCACTCGGGAGCCAGAGGCAGGTGGATCTCTATGAGTTCGAGACCAGCCTGGTCTACAAGAGCTAGTTCCAGGACAGCCTCCAAAGCCACAGAGAAACCCTGTCTCGAAAAACCAAAAATAAAACAAACAAACAAAAAAAAAAAAAAAAAAAAAAAAAAATTAAGGAATTTAAAGGATTATTTATGATTAACAACATAGCCAAATGAATTTTGTACATTGATGGCAGATTGTTAGTTTAAATTTCTTACAACAAAAAAGCAAAAAAAAAAGAAAACTAGTTCTCCCATTACATTAACAAAACAACCCACTTTAATGTGGTACTATAGAGTCTCTTAAAACAAGTCAGGAGAAGATAAGTTTTCAAAACTAACACTTCTGACTTTTCGTCTCATGAAGCACAGGAACACTAGCTATTTGCTCATGGAGAGAATAGAAATTATATACAGAAGGAATTTCTCTTGGAGCCCATTCCCCCCACCCCATACAAAACATACTTCACAACTGAAGAGGAACAAAGCAGCAAGCCCAAGTCCCTTTCTCTCAGCAGACAGCCCCACAGACAGGACACAAGATGGCATGTGCAGTTAGGACTCCTAGGATGGGAATGAGGCAGGTGAAGGTCACATGCACTGCAGAAACCACCTCCTTACAAAAAACTACCACGGAGTAAGTGGGAGGTCCTGGGTGGGAGTCAGGACTTCCCAATTCATTTAACTTAAGAGAAGAAGATCAAAGGTTTGAACTGTGTATAGTGCCCTGAAGATAAATTATGCAGGAATGTTACAAAAAAAAACAAAAACAACAACAACAAAAAAAAAAACCCCACAAAACCCCAGAACAATTCTGCACAGGCCAAATGAGTCTTGAGCAACAACAACAACAACAAAAAAAAAAACCCACAAAACCCCAGAACAATTCTGCACAGGCCAAATGAGTCTTGAGCAAAAGACTAGAGAAGGCAGATGCTTTACTCGACCAAAGGAACGGGCTATATTTGGAACAAATTATGGAGGGGTTCAAGGATAAATACCCTTGAGAACAGTGGAGATTACGGTGGTAAGCAATTGAGAGGAAGCCAGAAGTTGCTTCTAAGCAAAAACTAAACTGTGGGCCAGGGGCCTACCAGAGACAAACAGAAAGGGAGACAACTGAAAGAACCCTCTCAGATCAGAGCAATCTCAAGAACTGCCCAGTCGAGAAATCCAGATTTAATTACACCTGACTACACAGAAACATACACCCAAGTGATGCTGAAAACAAAACAACCAGCAGAGCATAAACACTGCATGTAAAGCCAACAGAAGCAAACATTTAGAAAGATGAAGGGAAGAGACAGAGAAGACTGCTGTAGCCACTGTCACCGAGGAGGCTACACATATTCCCCAAAGCTGAGCCTCTAATGAGATAACACAGAGGCTTCTCAAACACTACGACATACTCGCCTCTTTGCCTCACAGATTTTAAAGAAGCAACTGTAAAAATAACATGTGCACACTTATTTTGTTGGGGCAGTAACATACAGAAAATAAGTGCAGTGACAGTAAGAAGCGGGACAGGGCTAACCTGTACTAGAGTTAGGAAGTGACACCAGTCTAAGTAGTCTCAAATCAACAGGAACAAATAAAAACCAGAAGAAGCAAATAAGTTTAGTAAGACAAATTATAAATAGCTATTCTTTTTAAACATTTATTATTTATTTATTATTTATGTCTATGGGTGTTTTGCCTGAATGTATGTGTACCACAGGCATGTAGAGCCTACAGAGACCAGAAGAGGGCATCAAATTACCCTAGGACTAGAGTTAAAGATGTTTGTGAACTGCCATGTGGGTGAAGGGAATCAAACCTAGGTCCTCTGGAAAAGAAGCCAGTGTTTTTAACTGTTAAACCATTTCTCCAGCCCCAATATTTACTTATCCTTATCCCTTTTATCAGCTTATAAAAGACAAACATTTTTCAATCTTTATTACTCTTATTTTTAATTATATACATGAAAGTTTGCCGGGTGTGCATGCCTGAGGAGGTTAGAAGAGGGTGTTGGATCTTCTGTAGCTGAAGTTACAGTCCCTTGTGAACTGCCCTACATGGGTGGTAGGAACTGAACTCAGGTCCTCTAGAAGACCACTTACTTGTAACCACTGAGCTAACTGATTTATAACATACATAAAATGTGTTAATAGTAATATAACAGCACAAAATTACGGAAGAGACAAGAAAAACTAGAACTACACAGAAGTAATACTTTTTTTGTATCTATAAGGAATAAAGTTAGTATAAATCTGAATTAGAACCTGTAAAGTAAAATCCATAGGATTTTCAAGATATTTTTATGAATCAGAAATGTAATTTAAAAATCTTTTTTTTTTTTTTTGGTTTTTTGAGACAGGGTTTCTCTGTGTAGCTTTGGAGCCTATCCTGGCACTCGCTCTGGAGACCAGGCTGGCCTCAAACTCACAGAGATCCACCTGCTTCTGCCTCCTGAGTGCTGGGATTCAAGGCGTGCGCCACCAACACCCGGCGTAATTTAAAAATCTTAAGAGGATTTTAAATGTTATACAAGAAACTAATTATGTATTACAAAAAAAAACAGTAAAAAAAAATCAGAGGAACAAAATGATAGAGATGTACAGAAGTGAAAAATGCAGGCAAAAGAAAATTATCACTTCAAGGGCTAAGTTGTAACTCAGTGGTACAATGCTTGCCTATCATGTACACAGTTCAATACCCAGCACCACAAGAAAAATAAGTCAGTGCAATTTTGATTTCTGTTGTCTACCAAGTTGATTTTTCTTAGCAACTAAACTATTCTATACATGTTTTAATTCTTCCTAGATTGTCTTAGCTCGTTACCAAACTTTTTTAGTAAGTCAAGACATATACTAAAGTACTAACAGACAAAATGGCACAATGGCTTAGATCTGGAACAAATAATCCAACAAAATAGCAAAGAGCATAAAGAGGGAGACAAAAATAAAGATGGCAACATGTCGAGAACTGCTGAAAATGAATAATGGCATCTAGGAGTTTAGTAATTCCAAAATAACTTTTAAAAGAAATTTGGCTCCTAACTAAATCTGCACAGCTCATTTGTTCTCGTATCACCTGACACACAGCCAATGCTCTGACCACACTAAGCTATGTAGTGGTTCCTCAGGCACACCACGTAGTTCAGTCTCCACAGAGTTGATCATGCTCGAACTGTTGCGGATCACCCTTCTCTTTCAGTCCAGATATACTCCTACTCATCTGCCCATGCGTGGCCCAGTGTCACCTCTGCAGCTGTTGGTGCCTTTATTCCAACACATCACTATCCCACCGTTACAACTGTAGAATCTCTCACTCATTTAATATCCATAGCCTGAGAAATGGAGACTCTCAACAAGTGCTTTTTAGATGATGCTCTATACAATAATCTCAACAGGTTTGGTTCTTTCACTTCATGGGATAGGCAGTAAATGCCTGCTGATAATGCTGGAGAACAAACCCCTAATAATGCTGTATTCAGGATTCTGGTAAGAAAACTTCGTAAGAAAACCTCTTGAATTTACAATTATTTTAAAGGATTTAAAAAGGCTAGGTCTGAATCCTTTCCACAAAAGCTCAGTAACATGACTCTCAGAGTCATCAGCTCTACTTAACAGCTAAGATATATTGTGTTTTTTACAATCATTTCAATACAGGGAAAAATGTTTAAGAAACAGTACCTCAGTCTTTCCACATTCAATAGGTGAATCCTGGTGTATGGCCACTTGATACTTGGTATATAAAGAAAGGGACTGGTTGAAGGATGACTTGAACTCTGGATCCTCAAAGGAGGCAGGTACTAGCCTCACCTTCAGAGCAAGGAAAATATAAGCCAATGCTATTGAACCAACTCTACCTGTTGACACGCTTCTGAAGATGAGGCTAGAGGAAGATCTCCACAAACCATTTCCAAAGTTCAGCCCAGGATTTGTCTTAAAATAGCAGGAGTGGAGCTAAGTGGCACGAGGCCTGAGTGCCAACTTTCTACCAACAATCATGAAAACCTTAAACTCACAAGAGCCAATTTGTTTCTGCTTTGGTTTTTCTCTAACAACCATCTGTGTTGTTACATACACTAGCCACTACTGTTACTAATTGGTCTTAGCCAGTACTTCTACCCCTCTACTGAATGAAGTGTTTTAGGCTTTTTTTACCCCCACATTTTTTTAATCAACTGCTATATAAAATTATAAGTAGAGAAGGATGTCTATTAAAGACCTCTACAGTCTTCCTTTTCCTTCACATCTCTGTTATATATGGGTATTCCATCAATAAGGAATTACTGAGCTGCTATGAACTCTTTCTACAACTTTCTAACATGGATGAAGCAGAGTAACACATCAGGTCAAGTACACCTTCTTCTCACGGATATTTAACTTGAAGCTCCACCACTCATTTATAGATAAATGTGTCCATACACAGCAGCTTTGAATAAAGACAACTTCACATGTGACTTTCCACTTTGAAATTCTGTATAACTGGCACTTAACACAACAATAGTGACTTAACATTTACAGAATGTTCACTCACTCAATCTTATCTTTGTGCACATATGCTACAAACTGGATATTATAAACAAAAATATAGTGTAATTAAACCAAGATCTCATACTTGGCCTGCTGACCTGGCTCACAGTTGGTTTATCAGGTGGATCCTTGTGAATAATCATCTGGTAACGCTTATAGACCTGGTAAGACTCCTGAAATGTGGCTTTGAACTGAGGACTTGGTGGAGTAGATCTCACCACCCTCACCTTCAGAAGGAGTTAAAAAACAATGTTCATTAATTCATTCATTGATTCACTTCTGCAGAATATGCAGTAACAGAAACTCCCAATCAAAAACACATGTTTCAACAAATATTAAAGCATAAACATATATTTTAACACTAAAAATCAACTAAGTTAAGTAAATGAAGAAAAAGTTAATGCTGGAATATACAGTTAACTTAAAGAGCAAAAGAGGAGAGCCTGTTTATTTAAGCCTCATTCTGAAAAATTGAATACATCTATCTCTACTGTGAACTTAGCACTGATAACACAAACACTCTTTAGTTTTAGTTGTCCACAAATTACTAAAAATCAGTCAGTCAGAAACACTAAAAACTAACTATACCTTTGGGCACCTTTAGTCTTCATTATTAACTCTAAACCTACAACTAACACCATAACTGTGAAAAGCAACTTTCACAAAGTGTGTGCACTTCACTGTACAGTTAAATGCAGACTCTTATGTTTCCTTTATGCTGTACAATGTCAACATCTTGGACAAGTAAGCAAAGCTCTCTGTGCACAGGACTATACTAACAGTTAAGATGCATTAATAAGATAGTAGCAAATGGAAATTAAATGCACTACAATAAGGGCATAACTGGGCACTTCATGCTGGCAAAGGGAAGAGTGATACCTAGCAGATAACAAATTCCTCATACCCTGGCTATTACCATATTAAAAATGTAAACGATGATACCTACAGAACTGTTATTATTTGAGGTGTAGTTGACTCCCTGAATAAACTACTTATGACCAAAGGATAAAAACTTCTTCCTAAGTATTTTAAGCAGTATGGTCAATTCTCTATAATTCTGGAAGCAGGAAAGTCATTATGTATATCAAAGTAACAAGCAAGTGCAATAGTCAAAGTTATTAAAATTTGTCTAAAGTACACCTATAGTGACCCTTTTTGATTTGTGTGTCTGTGTGGGTGCAGTACATGCACATGAGTGTGTGGGTGGGTACACATGCCTGTGTTTGGCAGGTTGAATGTAACTCCACTACTCTACCTCTTAATGCCTGTCACTGACCCAGAATCTCACCATTTTGTCAGATCACCAAGTTCTGGGGATCTGACAGCCTAAACCCCACAAAACTGTGGTTACAGGCATAGATGGCCATGCTTTTTACATGGGTGCTAGGGATTCAAACTTAGGTCTTCACTCTTCCCCACTGAGCCATCTCTTCAGCCCCATCAATATTAGCATTAGTATCCTTGAATAATATTAAGCTACAAATTCAATCAAGCATGAGAATATTTTAAACTATTATGGTTAATGTTTAGAAAATAACTCTATTATCTGTAATTAATATTGAAAATTCCAATTTTTGTTGAAATATAAAACAGCTTGGGAAAAATGGGAAATTAGCACAAAAAAATTTAGCTAAATTGGTTAGGACTTTTTTTTTTTCTTTGTTTTGGTTTTGGTTTTTTGAGACAGGGTTTCTCTGTGAAACAGTCCTAGCTGTCCTGGAACTCACTCTATAGACCGGGCTGGCCATGAACTCAAAGAGATCCACCTGCCTCTGCCTCTGCCTCCTAAGTGCCTCCCTCTGTGTCTAGGGCATTTTCTTAATTAATGTTTGATGAGGGAGGGTCCAGCCCATTGCAGGTGGTGCCATCCTTGAAGTTCTATAAGCAAGCAGGCTGAGCACGCCATGGGGAGCAAGCCAACAGGAGCACCCCTCCACTGCCTCTGTATCAGCTCTTGCACTGTTTGAGTTCTTGACTTCCTTTGATTATGAACAGAAATATGAAAATGTAAGCCAAGTTAAGTCCTTCCCTCCCTACCTTGCCTTTCGGTCATGATGTTTTCTCACAGCAATAGTAACCCTAACTAAAACAGTAGTATAGTTCAGGGTTGTATATGTGACATTGGTGCTACCTACGTTGGAACATTATAATAAAACTGATTTACTTATTATGATCTAAACTTTTGCCACTTTACTTTCTAAAATAAAATTAACAAAGTTAATTTTAAAATATTTTTGTTTTGTAAACTGCTTAATTGCAATCAAGTACCACAAAAAGTCAGAGTGCCCTGCTTAATAACATACAACTGAAACTTTTTAAACAATTATAATAATAGTTGCCTAAAGTATTTTCAAAATCTCTTGAAGAATTTTCTCAAATAGCAGTTGACTCACTGTAACATACATGCTAAACAGTAAAACATCAACAGCTAAGTATTAGTTCAGAGAAAATAGACAACACAAAACAAAACACAAACAGCCACAAAAACCTTCCAAGTACCTCTAACTTGTGAGATGCATTCTCTGGTAAAGATTCAAAAATTAAATCTTCAAGTGACTTGGGCTGATTGGATTTAGCCTTTGGTAACAAAGACGCTGGCTGACCTTGAGCCTGGAAGCCTTCAAAGGCTCCAGCTGAGTTTTGCTGCATAAGTTTTAATCTTTTCCTTTCTTTGCGCATTTCCTTTGCTTTTCGACATGGAGGCTTACTCAAATCAGCCCCTTTACCTAAAAAAGAATGTCAAAATATTAGACCAATGACATTTGACCTAGAAATGTTTTGTCAAGTCTTATAGATTATACAGTTAAGTCCAAAGAGTTCACATTGAAGGATCATTAAAATTCTACCCCAGAGATAGGAGCAGTCAAAGAAGTCAGTCATTCAAACTACTCAAGGCAGTTCTATTGTGAAAAGGCATTCATTTGTTCACTCATTCAACCTCTCATTTTAAATATCTGCCCATTTTTCTGCTTCTGCAAGTAGAAATCATCACATTAAGGGTCAGAATTCTGCCTCTCTGGCCCACATTTCTAGGGATATTTTTGAATCTAGAACAAACTCTGGTGGATGGTGGTTGTGGTTTTTCTTTTAACTAAGAAAAACTCTTGAGAAAAAAGCAAGATCTCCTGAGTAAACTGGAGGCATGGGGGTAGGGGAGAAGGTGGAATGGGAGAGGGGAGGAGGGAACAGGAATGGGGAAAAAAAATGTATAGCTCAATAAAAATAAAAAAAATAAAACATACTAGAATAACAAGAAAAAGAAGAATCCTTGCTCATTTGCACATAGTTATGTCTCCAATTAGTGCTCACAGTTCAGGTTAATGAATTTTATTCTAATTAAAAGATCATGTATTAACTGGTAGCTCTTTAAAACTATCTGGGTGTGGTGGTCTACCCCTGAAGTCCAGCACTTGGGAGGCTGAGGAGGTGGGTATGTTAGTTCCAGGCCAGCCCCATTTGCATAGTTGTTCTAACCAGGACTACATAGTCAGACCATGTCCGAAAAAGAGGAGAAGGAGAACCCACAACTCTCAAGGTATGAGAATAAGAGATAGTGGAATGCTGAGCCCTAAAGGATAAAAACAAACCAATGTAAAATCAGTATGCCACACCAACCACATGCCCACAGAATTCATATTACATATTACTTCAAATGATCGGAAAAGCACAACAAACCTGCATAAAGTCTAATTCATTCCAAGAGAATATACCTGTAGCCATTGCTAAAAAACAAAAACAAGCATAAAACAAACAAAAAAAGCCAAAAACAAACCAACCAACAAAATTCAGGCTCCACAGATTCCTAGCCTTTAAGATTCTTAATTCACATTTTTAATGAGAACTATACTGAGGGAGGTGGGAAAACAGCAAGAAAATAGTTTTAATGTTGTAATAGTCTTATTCCTGGAAGTAAGCTCTGTGTGCCTATGTTTGTGTGTCCATGTGTGTCCGGACACACACAGAAGTCCGGAGTCAATGTTAAGTGTTTTCTTCAGTTGCTCACCATCACATTTCTCCTTTGGCTAATTTTGAGACAGGGTCTTACCATTTAGCCCTAAGTAACCTGGAACTCTCTATGTAAATCAGAAGACTGGCCTTGAACTCAGAGACCTACCTGCCTCTACCTCCCAAGTAAGGCGATTAAAGGTAAACACCACCTCAACCAGCTTTTCATGATATTTTTAATACAGTGCCTCTCACTGAACCTGCTCAAAGTCAACAAAACTTGCTGACCAGCAAGCCCTAGCAATCTGTGTGCTCTGCCTCCTGGAGTATTACAGGCATAATCTGCCATGCCTGGCTTTTTACATAGGCCCTAGGTATCCAAAAACTCTACCAATGGAGCCTCTTCCCCATCCCTGAGGTAGTTATTATTACTCTAAAACTGCCATACTATGGGATAAACAAATGAGTAGTCATGTGAGGAACCCAGGTTTCTGAGTGTGGAAGAAACAGCTGTAAAACCAAATGAAAATAAGTAGTAAAACGCAGAACATTCTGGTCACAAATTTACAAGACATGTCACTATGAACTTATGATCCCTAGCTCTACTCACTGAAAAGACCTAGAAGGCAATGACTAAGCTAGGTGTAATAATATAGACTTCTAGTCTCGTTTATGATCTTCATCTATTGTGCAACCTGATGAAGGGTAGGTACAATACGAGCATTGTATCAGAGAGTAAGGAAGCTGTCAGACTCCAAGGATTGTGTCAAAGGATGCAGATGCCAATCATTAAGAGCTGATGCAACAGCAGCAGAAAGCAACAAAGAAAATATGTTTCAATTCATGAGTTCTGATATCAAAGAAGCCCAACTGGTCATTGCTACATGTTACTATGAAAAATGGTAAATAAGAATCAAGAATATATACTGCCTGGGGCTGGAGAGATGGATCAGCGGTTAAGAACACCGACTGCTCTTCCAGAGGTCCTGAGTTCAATTCCCAGCAACCACATGGTGGCTCACAACCATTGGTCTGGTGCCCTCTTCTGGTGTGCAGATATACATGGAAGCAGAATGTTGTATACCTAATAAATAAATAAAATCTTTAAAAAAAAAAAAAAGAATTTATACTGCCTTTGAAATAAACAGATGAGAGTTTCTTCATGGAAAATCCCAACCAGGAAACAAGCAATGAACCATTTAAATATCAATTATTAAATTCATTTAGGTACCATGTACCCTATTACCACTAATAAAAACTGAGGATCCCTGATATTATATATTTCCTGAAAGAACATTCAACCACCTCTGAAGTAACCTTACATGCCCTCAAATAATTAACTAATCTGATTAAAAATTTTCCCCAAGGCAGGCATGGTGGAATATGCCTTTAATCCCAGCACTTAAGAGGCAGAGAGAGGCTGAGTCTGAGTTCAAGGCCAGACTGATCTATAGAGCAAGTTCCAGGACAGCAGCTACAGAGAGAAACCCTATCTTGAAAAATGACAACAAACCAGGCAGTGGTGGAGCACACTTTTAATCCCAGGACTTGGGAGGCAGAGGCAGAGGCAGGCGGATCTTGGTGAGTTTGGCAAGGTCTACAGAGTGAGTTCTAGGACAGCTAGGACTATTTCACAGAGAAGCCCTGTCTTGAAAAACCAAAAAAAAAAAAAAAAAGAAGAAGAAAAAAGAAAAAAAAAATGAAAACAAACAAAATTCCTGCCCAACCCCCTCCAAGCAACACAAGAAAATCTAATCAGTTTCTAGGTACAACTACCAACCGATAAAAACATACACTACCTGGCTTAGGACCACTATGAACTTTGACTGAATGTGATGGTTCACCAGAGCCCAACTTCTCTATAGCTTGTGGATGAATTAATTCTTTAGATTCTTCTTTCTTTAAGCTTTTTTCTTTCATCTTCTCTTCACTCTCTATGCTTCCTTTGAGGTCACTGCTGAGTGTCTTAAGATCACACTTTATATCCAACTTGTTTATTAATGCAAAGTCACCAGCAACAGCATCCTCCATTGTAGAATCCATAGGCTCATCTACAAATGAGAAAAAAAAAAAAAAAAATGAAAGCCCATCATCAGCTATATTATCTGACACATCTAAGATTAATGTAACTGTAAGTAACCCTGTTACTGCAGTGCATCTACCAAATCCAGTCTCCTGCCTTTCAAAGCTAGGAAGCTACTAGACCTGAGACATGGCACTCTAGCAGGAAAATGTACCTCCATAACTGTGCCAGCTGTGGTCCCAATGATGGATACCCGAACTAGCTAATTCTGTCTTAAAGAATATTGTGACCTAAGATTTCAACCCTCTCCCCTTGGCCTGGTGACTATGTCACCTCCTATGAAACAGTTTTAGACACAAATGAGAAGTCCACAACAAGTTAAACAAAGAGCCAAATGTACAGGCCACATGAAAACATAGGCAATCAACAATTTACATATGGACCATGATTTTTAGACACCAAAAAAATTTCAAGACATTTCTTAAAATGATTTACATATAATATTCCATCAGAACTATACCAAAACTATTTCCAAGGCTCTAATTAGCACTTAACCTCTAATATCAAGCTTTCTGGCCTCTTTGCTGACCCCAGCTAAGCCGATCCTACACTAAGTTATCTATTCAAAACAATGCAAGAAGTCAAAGAACTTACCTGCTAGGGCAACCATTGTTTCTCCAGTGCTTAAGACAGTGACCATGACACCCACAGGCATCCAAAACCTACTTGTGGAATGAATGAATAAACTAAGACTAGGGGAGGGGATCCCCAGGATGAGGTGCTTCCTACAGCAGCAGTGAAAAAGAGCTCAGAGAATTACACTATCAAGTCTTACACTCCCCATATTAGGTATCACTTATAGGAAAACTTACAAGGTTTACAAGTTAAAACACTGAAACGTAAAATGAATTAAATGGTACTAATAATCTTTTACATATAGGGAAGTCATTTATAATTTAAAATTGATCAGATAACTAAGAGACAATTTCATAAAATAGTGAAAAAAGTGTGCATGCATTGCATGCATGAGTGTGTGAGAGAGACAGAGAGAGAGAGAGAGAGAGAGAGAGTGTGTGTGTGTGTGTGTGTGATATGCAGGCTCTGTGTGGAGGACAGAGGACAACTTTTAGAAGTCAGTCATTGCCTTCTACTTTGTTTATAAAGGTGGGTCTCTTATTTTTCTTCTACTGTGCTTGTGTACCCCAGTCCTGTGTCCTGGACTGCAAGCTTGAGGCAATTCTCTCATCTCCAGCTTCCATCTCTACTAGGAGTGCTGGGATTACAGGGGTACAACACTTCCTCTAGCCTTTTAACTGGATTCCAGGGATCCAAATCAGGCAGTCAGGCTTGCACAAAATCAGGCACTCAGTACTTTTACCTGCTGAGTTCTCTCTCCTACTTAGGTCTTTATTTAGCACTAGTACTTTTACCTGCTGAGTTCTCTCTCCTACTTAGGTCTTTATTTAGCAAAGTAACTGTCCAATTTTGGTCCTCTATTTACATCACAAGGACATCATTAGAAGCTAGCCACATGGGTTGTCAAAGCATTTGAATAACAAATATATTAATTCAAAAAATCCCATCTTTACAATGACCCTCAATTCCTAATATGTATTTCCTACATTTGGAGGGTCTAGTGAGACAAATGGTAGCATCACTAGTGTCATTAACTTTATAATAATAGTATAGGATTGTGTTATAACAGTTTCCTTCCCCTACCTGACTTGAGTTAGACATGTGGAAGTGGGAACCTTGGAGAGATACATTAGTTTAAATAGTTTCCAGACCAGATCTGTTCTTACCCTCACAATTGCCTTTCGAAATCTCCCCTTTAGCCAGAAATTTCAGCATTTTTTTCAAAACTTTCTTGTGAGATTTTGATGGCTGAAACTGTAAAGGATGACACCTAGAAAAGCAAACAAATATTTTAAAAGTTTTCAGTAATGTCAGTTTAACAGTATAGTATAGATTGCAACAAATTTCATGCCTGGAGTTTGTTTTTTTGTTTTTTTTTTTTATAAAAGATGTAATTTAAAGCAGCATTTAATCTTACTCTAAAACGCCAAAACTCACTGTAACTACAGTTAAGAGATTTTTGAAGAAGGAAGAAAGACGACAAGGAAGGGGAGAAAAAAACATAAACCAGAGGAAAAGGCAAGAAATACTGGAAGATGGGAATGGACTTAGGTAACTAAAATTGAACCCTAACCAAACAATGAAAAGACCAGTAAGATATTCAATATCCTCTATATCAGTGGTTCTCAACCTGTGGGTCATAACCCCTTTGGGAGTCAAATGACCTTTTCAGAGGTGTCACCTAAGACCATCAGAAAACACAGATATTTACATTATGATTCATAAAAGTAACAAAATTAGCCAGGAGGTGGTGGAGCATGCCTTTAATTCCAGCACTTGGAAAGGGGAGGCAGGTGGATTTCTGCAAGTTCAAGGCTAGCCTGGTTCACAAAGCTAGTATCAGGACAGCTAGGACTGTTACACAGAGAAACCCTGTTTTGGAAATGAAAAATAAATAAATAAATAAATAACAGTTATGAAGTGGCAATGAAAATAATTTCGTGGTTGGGAGTCCCCACAACATGAGGAACTGACTGTAAATGACTATTTCATTTTTTTGAAGTCTAAAATTAGCTGTGTAAAAACCTGTCTTTGTGACTGAGAATCCCATGTCAGTCTGAATAATGTAAAATATCCTAGTATTACTTCCATTTATTAAAATTATACAGCTTAAGCAGATATCATCTTCCTGGATAGCCACAGCGATATGTGTGCCCAATAAGTGTAAAACACACCACCAAAGGGCTGTGGAAAGAACCCCACAGCTGTTCTTATTAGGGAAGTATAGTAGTGACACTTGAGAAAGTTAAGAACAGAAACATCGGTCATTTATAGTCAGTAACCCTATGGCTTTGCCAAGTAGGGTTTCCCATCAGGAAATTATACATCTGATGGATCGACTTGTTAAATACTAGTTGCCACTTTTGTATTTTCCCATGACCTCTTACAACCAGCAACTCTAGGCAATATTCCTTACACTCTGGAATAAAGTTGGGCTGATTCACTGAAGTCTCTCTCTCTGTGTGTGTGTGTGTGTGTGTGTGTGTGTGTGTAGGGGGGGGCGGGAGGAGTCACCAAATAAAATAATGGGAGACAAAGCCCCAACCATGGAAGCCCCTAAACATCCCAGGCTATTGCCAAGGCTACTGGTCATTCTCCACAAACTAATTGCTAAGGCCTTACCGCTGAAGACAACACATCTCACTTAACACGGAGAAGTTGAGCTGGTGTCCGACTAGAGCCTTCACACCTACTAACTAGTGTTCATGGTTCCAGAAGGTACCCTGTATGCTACCAGAGGAAAAAGGTGACCATCAACCCTGCTACAAACTTTGTGACCTGCCTGCAAACTATGCTGGTAAAATTGTGGCACAAACAATGTGGGAGTAACCACCCACTCTCTGATTAGATAGAAGACCCACTCCATGAGATGGAATGCCTGCCCACTGCTCATGTGACCATGAATCAGACTGGATAGGTCATGAGCTAAGGGAAAATCAAATAATTTTGTTCTGCTAAAAGAACATAACAATAAACTGACTCCTAACAACATTCTGCTGTACCCTATACACTATAAATCAATGTCTCATTCACCCATCATCAGAGAAGCTTCCTCTTGCAATATGATAACTAACACAGAGACCCTGCCAGTGGCCATGTCAGAGGAGCAGCAGATGGCACTTGAGCTTCAGGAGTTCAGCCTACCAGGAAGCAAGGCTCTGATGGGTGAATCTCGGATAGGCAAGGCCCCAAGGGCTTCAGCTACAGAATGTCTCTGGCTACTGTTGTGGCTTTACATATTTGCCACTGCTATTTTTCTCTGTTATCCATCATGGTGTGAATGGGTATGGGAAGATTCCCAGTGCCTTTAAAGTAGTATGTTTATCTCATGGAAATAGCCCATTCTACTGGGCATTTTTACCTGCAGATTATTTTTAAGATGATTTCCTCTTAAGCTGTGCTGTTTAACTGAATAAATGATTTTACATAATAGTGTTAGTTTAAATAGAATTTTGATGATTAAGGATTTCTAACAAATACAGCAAGAGATTATGATAGAGATTAGTTTAGTGGGAAAATTAATATAAGTAAAGGTAGGATACAGTGTTCCCCCCATCCCTGATAAAGCAGGGGCTGCAAAGGACAGAAATAAGAACAAGGAAGTGTCACACAGCGACAACTTATGAATTTCACTTGAGTTGTATAGACTGCGATTTAGGTTAATGATTAAGGAAAACAACTGAGTGCCAAAAGTTAAGCTAGCGCAAGTTCTTTTCGATGTTGGGAAATATGTTCATGGGTTTCAGGGTACATCATAGCTGAAACAAAGCTCTAAACAATTGACTTCATGTATAGAAAACAAAGAATTAGATGATTAGTTAAGATAATTGGCAGAACTCTAAAATAAAAAAATGAAACAAGTAGCCTGATTTTCTGGCAATTATAAAAGCTACTGCCCATGTAAATGGTTATGGCTGAAAGGCTCCCAATCTGTGAGAAGTCTAATAGAAGAATGTTTAACCGAGTGTGAGTTTCTCAGAAAATGCATAAAGATGTGGTTAAGAAATGTATTTGGCTCTCCAGGCTTGGGCTTAGGTTCCGGCAACATGGCTAAACGCACCAAGAAGGTTGGGATAGTAGGGAAATACGGGACCCACTATGGTGCCTCCCTCCAGAAAATGGTGAAGAAAATTGAAATCAGCCAGCACGCCAAGTATACCTGCTCCTTCTGTGGCAAGACCAAGATGAAGAGATGAGCTGTTGGCAACTGGCACTGTGGTTCCTGCATGAAAACAGTGGCTGGTGGGGCCTGGACCTACAACACTACATCTGCTGTCACAGTGAAGTCTGCCATCAGCAGACTGAAGGAACTGAAAGACCAGTAGAAGTGTGACTGCCTGAGACCTGCCTAGCCGCTAGAAATAAATGGATTAATTTACATAAAAAAAAGAAATGTATTTGGGCCAGGCGTTGGTAGCTCACCCCTTTAATCCCAGCACTCGGGAGGCAGAGGCAGGCGGATCTCTGAGTTCGAGGCCAGCCTGGTCTCCAGAGCGAGTGCCAGGATAGGCTCCAAAGCTACACAGAGAAACCCTGTCTTGCAAAAACCAAAAAAAAAAAAAAAAAAGTATTGGAGTTGACTTATCCAGAAAATATATGTTTTTATGATTATGATTATGTATGTATGTGGTGTCTGAAAAATAAAGCTGTGTTCCAGAGGCAGCAAAGGTTGTACCTTACACTGGCAGTCAAACTTGGTAGTGTTAAGAGTCATCCAGGTAGTACTGGTTTTGAAGGCACAAAGGGGTCATGGAAAACAACTGAGGCTTGGCACTGTGAAAGGCCAGGAAGGGTGAAGGTGCAGCCTCAGTTGCAGTAGAACCCAGGACTGAAGGGTCATGCAAAGATGTTGAGCCTTGGCATCATGAAGACAGCCCAGAAGATATTAAAGAAAGTAAAGACTAGCTGCAACAGAAGACCCCAGCACTTCGGAGATGCCAGTTCTATGGGATGACCACCAAGAGCAGCAACAGTGGTGGAGTGGAGCCTGCCAGATCCTAGGAGACAAACTGTGTACACTGTAGTAGACAGAGATGGAGAAGTGATCCAAGTACTTTAGAAGAGTCTAGAGGACCATGAGTGAATTACAGACATTGAACACTGAGTCATTTACACTTTTGGAGTTTGGTTATGCTTTGTTCAGATTGTGACTGTGCCCTGGTTCTTCTCTTTTTAAGAATGGACTTATTATTTTTTTATTTTACAAGACCCCACAGTTGAGAGACTAAACTTTTTGTTAAAAAAAGAAAAAAAAATCGAGATTTTGGGTTTTTACAGAGAATTTGGATTTTAAAAGAAACTGGATAGTTTTAAAGACACAACTTTTAAACTGCTTAAACTTGGAATGCTATGGGGTATAAGTTACTCAAGTATTTTATATTGTGATGTCTTTATTAATGTGTGATCTTGGGGATGAGTAAGAAAGGAAAGGTTGTGGCTCAACAGTAATGTTTATGTGTCAAGCTGACAAGAGGTCAATTGTGCTGGATAGTTTTATGTCAACTTGACACAAATTAGAGTTATCTGAAATGAGGAAACCTCAAGTGAGAAAATGCTTCCATAAGATCCAGCCGTAGGGCATCTTCTTAATTAGTGATTGATGGGGAAGGGCCCAACCTATTGTAGGTGGTGCCATCCCTGGGCTGGTGGTCCTGGTTTCTATAAGCGAGCAAGCCACAAGGAGCAAGCCAGTGAGCAGCGCCCCTCCATGGCCTCTGCATCAGCTCCTGCCTCCAGGTTCCAGCACTGCTTCATTTCCTTCATTGACTTCCTCCAATGATAGACTATAATCTGGAAGTATAAACCAAATAAACCCTGTGTTTCATTGCAGCAACAAAAACCCTGACTAAAACAGGGTCCCAGCACTGAGAAGGAAAAGTGGACATGAGCTCCCACCCTTAATCAAGAAGCTATCTGCAATTTTCAAAGCAAAAATCAGTTTACTTCTTCCATTTAAAAAAAAAAAAAAAAAAAAGCCGAGCATTTTGGTGGTGCACCCCTTTAACCGAAGCACTCAGGAGGCAGAGGAAGGTGGATCTCTGAGTTCGAGGCCAACCTGGTCTACAGAGCGAGTGACAGGATAGGCTCCAAAGCTACAGGGAGAAACCCTGTCTCGAAAAACAAAAAATAAGTAAATAAATAAAACAACCTAGACTCTGCCAGCCAGTGGTAGCCCATATCTTTAATTCCAATACTCAGGAAGCAGAGGCAGACAAATTCTGAGGCATTCCTAGTCTACAGAGCTAATTCCAGGACAGGTAGGCTACACAGAAAAACCCTGTCTTGAGGGAAAAAAAAAAAAAAGTAATTTGAATATTTACCAATATTTCATAGTATCCACTAGCTAACAAGGAAAGTATTTTATTCATATCATCTTCATAGCAGGACTAACTCAACAATATTGGAATCTACTTTTCAATATGTGGATTTCAAATCAGTATGTAGAAAAGATAATTCATATACTTTCTTTTTCCTTATACTGTCTTACTAAAGTAGAAACAGTATTTTAAAAGTCTAAGATTTCACTTTAAACATACACAATCTTTGTATTGTAGATCCTTACCTTATAGTATACTGAGGACAGCATGTTCGATTCATGACAGGCTTGTACACATATTTCCCACTTCTAAAATCATAAAAATAACTTGTTAATTTCTTATATATGCTTCACATGTACCAAAACAGATTAGAAAAACTCAAGATAAGGGTAAAAAAATCTAATCAATAGCATTAAAAAAACCACCTTTTTCTTTCCTAAACGTCAACAAAAGCACTACAAGGTCAACCATTTCCATTATATTCTCACCAGCACCTGCAACTGATTCAGTGCCTTCATCTGTACTGTATCAGTACCACAGAGGCAGTAATAAATCTGTGTGTGATAGATGAGGCTGAAGCATTGGCTCAGTGGCTATGAGCATCCAGGGGACCAGAGTTCAGTTCCCAGCACTCAAAACCCCATTACTTCAGCTCCAGAGGCTCCAACACCACTGGCCTCTGCAGGTACCCTCATTCACACGTACATGGCACCATACAGACACATACCACACACAAATCACTTCTCAAGTCAGGAACCTGAGAGTCGTTTTAGACTATTGTTACCTTATTATATATTAAGGACAGCTTATCTCTAACTCACCTCCATATCCTATCAGAAAGATTTCTACTTGCAAAACATATCCTAAATTTGTCCTCTTCTCATTGCCACTAAGGTAACATAGAAACCCTTGTTTCTTCTCTGGAACTCTTGTCCTGCTTCCTCTCAAATACCTCTCTGACTTATAAATGAATCTTTCTAAAACAAATTTCCTCATATTGCTCTCATATAAAATCCCTGGATGGCTCCTTCTTATCTTAACAAGAATGCTTATTGTATCACCCAAAATCCTACAACATCTGACCTCCATAAACATTTTTAGACTCACATTAAATTTAATGGATGTTAACATTTTCTTTGGCATGCTCAAGCTCAGTTTTAGAGAATACTGGCATTCAGTACTTAATGCTTCATATTGTTTATATTTATATAAGAAACTTTCCTAAAAGTTACTTAAAAATAACTAACCAGCCAGGCTTAGTGGTGTACAACTTTAATCCCAGTACTCAGGAAGCAGACCCAGGTCTACATAAAGAGTTCTAGACCAGTCAGGGGTACTTAGTAAACATTGTCTCAAAAAAAAAAGAAAACCCAACTACCAAGAAAACACAATATGAACAATTGAACAATTACAGAATCAATTAATCAACTGGGTATATGTATATGTGAGTCTATGTGTCTGTGTGCACGTGCATGTGTGTGTTTAAGACAATCTTGGGTCAGTGGGTTAGCTCAGTGGATGAAGGCATTTGCTGCCTGTACTAATGACCTGATATCATCCCCAGAATCTACATGGTAAAAGGAAAGAACAAGCTCCCATAGGTTGTCCTCTGATCTCCTATACATTGTAGCACACAGAAGCCAATATCCAAACACAAATAAGCAAACATCAAAAAAAATGAATTTTTTTAAAGACAATCTAGGAACTGGGAAGATGTCTCAGTAATAAAAGCCTTTGCTGTGTAAGCACAAGGTTGGAGTTCAGATCCCCAAAAGCCTGGCAGCCATTTGTAATGTTGGCTTGCAGGAGGCACAGATAGGGACTCCCTGGAACAAGGCTGGCTAGTCCAACTAGCCAAAATGGCACTAACTCTAGATATAATGAGAGACCCTGATACAATATATAAGGTGATAAGCAATATCATTCAGCCTATACATACGTGTACACCCAAACAACATACAAAAACAGAAAGAAGTGAATCTAGAAAACAAAACTCAGAAGCCAGCAAAACAGGTCATCAGGGAAAGGCACTTGCTGCCAAGCATGCATTCAATGAGTGCCAAGTACCATCAAAAAAGTATATTTTCTTTTTTTTTTTTTAAACAGGGCATGTAGCCCTGGCTGGCCTGGAGCTCACTATGTAGACCAGGCTAGTTTCAAACTCACAGATATCCACCTACCTCTGCTTCCCAGTGCTGGAATTACAGGCATGAGACACCACACTCAGCACAAAAATTAGTATTAATTGTATAAGATGATAAAGTTACAGTAGATAGGTTAAAAGGAAAACCATTATTTCTTACATATATCTGTACCAATATGCTTTCTATAATAATAATTGATATATAACCTGCTGGCAAATGTTTTACAGAGGAGAAACAGCATAGAGAATTAGTGAAAGACTAAAATAAGTCCAGTAACTGCCAAACATTAGTAATAAACATGCAAAGCTCATTATGATGTATTTTGGTTTATGTGTAATTTTTTAATTTTGCAAATAAATTTCTGAGAACAGGGCTGAAGAGCTGGCTCAGTGGGTAAGAGCACTGGCTACTCTTCCAGAGGTTCTGAGTTTAATTCCCAGCAACCACATGGTGGCTCACAACCATCTGTAATGAGATCTGGTGCCCTCGTTTGGCCTGCAGGCATATACACATTCAGAACACTATACATAAATAATAAATAAATCTTCAAAAAATAAATTTCTAAGGACAAATCAACTATACAAAAGAATAAACATTTTCTTAAACTTCCTTACAACTTAAGGTATTCTGAAGGCAACTCTCACTGTGCAGTTATAAGATGCAACAGAGCAATAGCAGAAAGGATCTGTTAAAGAGCTTTACCTTCTCCATCCTCGGTCTATAAGATCCTGATAATCCTGCACTGTCAAAGAATGTGCCCACATGCCTGAAAAAGTTAAGTACCATGTTAATTCCAGAACACTGAATTGTCTTCTTTTAAAAATTCTAAGTGCTCTCAAAAAAAAAAAAGATAAATTAGGCCAGGTGTGCTTATGCAAACGTTTAATTCCAGTACTCCAAAGGCAGGGACAGGCACATCTCTGTGGATCTCAGGCCTACCAGAGCTACCTAGTAAAAAAAAAAGTTAATAAAAATGGCAAATTTAGACTAAAATTCTAGAACATTCAAATTGGAGTAATAAAAAGTTTATATATACTTCACACTGAACATAATGAATACAACACAAGTGAAAATAAGATACATTATTCTAAAATAAGAGTGGTGATAAAAACCTGTAATCCCAGAACTTAGGAAGTAAAGGCAGTTGGAGGCAGATGGACCAAGAGAGAGTTTAAGACCAGCCTCAACTATGTGTCAAAAAAAAAAAAAAAAAAAAAAAAAAAACCTAGTCAGGTTGTAGTGGAACATGCCTTTGATCCCAGCAGAGGCAATTAGATCTCTATGAGTTCAAGGCCAGACTTTGCTTACATAGTGATAAACTCAAGCTAGACAGGGATACATAAGAGAGACCCTATCTCAAAACAAACAAAAAAATCTATTCTAACTAAAGAATCAAATACATCAAAAGTGATTCAAATTTAATTTAATTGAAGATCAATAAAAAGTCTATGACATAAATCTAGATTCTCACTGGAACTGGACTTCATCACACAAACTTTCATTAATATTTCCAATGAGTTAACGCACTGGTCTCACCTATTTGAAAGTTGTCATTTGTTTGCTTTCTATTACTGAGATAAATACCATGACCAAATGTAGTCTGGGGTGGAAAGGGTTTATTTCGTCTCACAATTTACAATCCATCATGAAGGGAAGGCAGGGCAGGAAGTGGAGGGAGGAATCTGGAGGCAGGAACTGAAGCAGAGGTCACAGAAGAACTCTGTCTGCTTACTGGCTTGTTCTCCATGGTTCGCTTAGACTGCTTTTGTGTACCATGTACCCAGTACCATGTGCCCAGAGGTGGCATCAGCCACAGTGAGTTTGGTCCTCCTACATCAATCACTAATCAAGAAAATGCCACACATCAGACTTGCCTACAGGTCAATCTGACCGAGGCATTTTTCTCAGTTGGCGTTTCTTCCCAGATAACTCTAGCTTATGTCAAGATGACAAAAAAAAAAAAAAAAAAACCACCTAACCAGAACAAAGGTATGTTAGTTCTAATAACTGATATGCATAATATATACAGCACAGGCTTGATGAATAAAAATAGGAAAAATATACATAGAATACTCATTCTAAGTAAGTAAAGTGACAGTAACTCAAATCCCAAAGGTACAGAAAGATGATGATAGGGAATCTGTCATTAGCAATACAGTGGAATAACTACGAAACTATGGGGCAGAAAACAAAGATGAGGAGGATTAACATGTAAAGGGCACCCCTAAAGTTTAAAAAGGATTTTTTTCTTCCTTTTGTAAATTAAGGAAATTATATCAGAGATAAGTATAGGAACACACTTTATAGAATGGCATGCAGAAGGGGAGAAAATGGTGTTAGAGTTCAAGAGAAATGTCAGTGAGTCAATTCTACGCTTTAGTTCCTGCATCAGGGTACCTGCCTCCACTTCCTGCCTGGCCATCCCTTCACGATGGATTGTAAACTGTAAGATGAAATAAACCCTTTCCTCAACAAAATGCATTTGGCCATGGTGTTTATCACAACAGAAAACAAACTAATAGCAACTTTCACATGTTAGTCACTCGCTAACGCCAACAAGTTACTCATCTGAACCTCAAATTACTCCTCTGTAGTTTGAGGCCAGTCTGACCTATAACAGGAATACCAGTCACCCAACAGAAGGGTGACCTACAGTATTAAAACTGAAATGTTAGAAATTTATAGCTATTTCTCTAGATGAAAAAGACTTTTCTTCCACAAATGTTGAAAAACAAACCATTTCTATTGGCTAATTTTCTGTTATACAACTCTCTATCACTCAATGACAGCCACTATGTTTCCCTTTGGCCTTATTCCTCTCAGCTGTCACGTAAACCATCTGCATCCTGTTTATTTTATTTAACCCTAGGCTGTAAGTATGTTTCCACTTAACTGGTCTTCATAACCGTACTTTTTTTTTTTTTTTTTTTTTTTTTTTTTTTTTTGAAAAAGGGTTTCTTTGTGGGGCTTTGGTGCCTTTCCTGGCACTGGCTCTGGGCAAACTCACAGAGATCCACATGCCTCTGCCACCCAAGTACTGGGATTAAAGGCGTGTGCCACCAACCCCCGGCCCATAATGGTACTTTTAATGAAGGTGTAGCTGTCTACCCAAAACCACAGCTCCACTAATAATCCATTGTTCCTAATAAACACTTTTTTTGTTTGTTTTCCAAAAAGTGTTTCTCTGTGTAGCTCTGGCTATCCTGGAACTTGCTTTGTAGATCAGGCTGGCCTCAAACTTACATAGATACGCCTGCTTCTGCCCACAATACTCGACCAAATCACTAACAGTCTTTCAAAATGCATAAACGTCTAAGCTAAATTTATATTTTCACAGTTATCTCATTTTCCACCTGTTGGATTATCTCAATCGTCCATCCCACATTCCATATTTGCCAATCATGACACATCAGACAATAAGTACGATGTTCGATTTACAAACAAATCTTTAAGGAACCTAAATCCTAGCCAGGCCATGGTGGTCCATGCCTTTGATGCCAGCACTTGGGAGGCAGTGGCAGGCAGTGAGTTCGAGGCCAGCCTGGTCTACAGAGTTCCAGACCAGCCAGGGCTACACAGAGAAAACCTGTCTCAAAAAAAAAAAAAAAAAAAGAGAGAGAGAGAGAGAGAGAGAAAGAGAAAGAAAAGAAAGCTGAATCCTGGCAGAACACCATGTGTTGATTGTGTTGTGGTCTTCGAGGTGGGTTGACAGAATAGCATGATATGAATCCTGATTTAAAAATCCATAAAGCAGATTGGAACCATCAGTCTAGAGACCCTGTTTTCTAGTATGTTCTCCCAGACACTTATCCAAAGATGACAGTGCGCAGGTGCACACGCACACGCCCCTCCACATAGGCAGCAGGAGGCCCCTGGCTGTCCCGCACCCAAGGCGAGCGCGGGGATGCAGGGCATCCGTCAACTCTAAGGAGCCTCCCAATCTCCTTTCCTCCCTTTCCGTCTCGCACCGACCAGCCGCTGTGCGCGGACAGGAATGAGGGCGGAGCATTCCCGGGGTTCTTCCCGATGCTCCACAGTCTGTGGCCGCCCAAGTCCCTCAAGCCGCGGCTGCCGGTTTCCCACGCCCGCCAGCCAGGCTCGCTCACCGTTCGAGAGGCTGCACGACTCATTCTTGCAATAGCCACACTGGAACAGGGACTGGCCCTCAAAATACTCCACGAGGCTGGGAGAAGGCGCGCTCCAGGAAGCCATCGCCTCGGGCCCCGCCGGCGCAGCGCCACCCAGTCCGACGCAGCAGCCGCCGTCGCCTCCACCACCCCACAATGCAGTGCGCGCGCCTCCGAAGATCGCGCGAAGCCACTCGGGCGCTTGCGGGCCGGAAAGACCTGGCAACCTGCTTGGCTGACGCCGCCCGCGCCATATTGACTGAGGGCAGCCTTCCGCTATTTCCGTTCGTCCTCTGTGAGGGGCGGCTATCTGTGAGGGTGAGGTGGGACGACCGAGAGGGGAAGGAGGCAGGCTGCGGAGAGACGAATGGGACCGGAAAGCTGGAGTCGGGTGACCAACGGCCTTAACCCCGCGCCAGGGACCTGTCGGGACGCAGCAAGAGCCAGGCGGGAGGCGGTTACGATCACCCGGACGGCGGGACACTCACCACAGGACGCCTTGCCCTCCCTTGACTCGCAGTAGCCACAGTAGTAGCCGGCCTTCAGGCCCTTGTATTCCACCACCGAGGCCATGGCCGCCGCTGTAGGCTTGAGAGCCGGCCACGCCTCTTAGCGCCAGGCAGGGACCGACCTCGGTTGGGCGCGGGGCCCCCGGCGGCGGGAGGGCCGAGAGCGCGGCAGGTACAGGGTTCGCGCCTCTCCGCCGGATCCTAGGGCGGGCCTCTGGACGCCTGCCTAGGTTGCAGGGCTGCACCTCTGAGACCGGTGTTTGTGACTAGCCGTTTACTTGCTCAATCCGCAAGCCTTATCACTTACAAGGGAGTTATCAGCCGGTTTTACAGATAGGGAAACTGAGGCTCCAGGTTTTGATTCACCCAGCCGCTTTCCACATGTCTCTGGCTGAAAATTACGCTCCTTAACAACGACTGCGCCTGACCACCTGTAAGGTATAAAGCTGGAATTTTTTTCCAACCCAGCTGGCTTAAATGCTGCAGGTATAAGAGCATAAACACTCCATGACAGCGAGGGTACTAGAATTGAAATAACTCTTAGCAGGAACTAATTGGCTAATGATGAAGTGCTGAGGTTTCTAAGGTTTATGCAGCGGTTTATGCACAAACATTTTAAATATCACTGAAAGAGAATTTCTAGCTCTATAGGCCAAACATATAGGCTGAATTCATCCCATGGGATCCAATTTGCAACCAGTTTTAAAGGGCATGTTTTAGGGAATAAGGGTGTGAGCAAAGTATAAAAATGAATTCATTCTTCTGCCAAGGTAATGGTCCTTCGCCTTCTCTTCTAGATACAACAGTTTAAGTCTGGCATCATAATTTCCATAGTTGACAATAATATTAACTCCTTTTTGCAGTGTTGAGAAAGTAAAATGATGAAACTTTTTTTGGCTCCTCGCTCTATAGACCAGGCTGGCCTCGAACTCACGGAAATCCGCCTGCCTTTGCCTCTCAAATCCTGGGATTAAAAGCATATGCCACCACTGCCCAGCATAAAAAAAAAAAAAAACTTTTAAAAATTATGTTTGCACCTGTCTTGCCTGCAAGTGTCAGATACGGGTACCACTTCATCCAATGCCAGAGGAGGCCAGAAGGCATTGTACCCTCTGAAACCCGACCTGCAGACAGTTGTGAGCTACCACATGTGGTGCTGGCAACCAAACCCTTTGTATTCTGCCACTGAGCCATCTCTCCTGTCTGAATAAACTATTTTTCGACTGTTAATGGAGCTCAGGATAGCCTCGATCTCTGAACACCACTGCCCTAGGATCAACTGCACCCTGCAGTTAAATATATATTAAATGTATATTAATATTAAATATATAAACTTAAGTAAATTTCAGTGTTTTTACCTAAGCCTTAGGGTCTAAGGTTGTCTGTGCTGGAGATGTGTCTAGTTAAGTTTGATAGTTCATGGCCTGGTGACTTAACATGGCTGAGCATCATTTGTTTCTCATACAGTTAAGAATCTAAGAGGTGACCTTGCAGTATATAAGGATGAAATTAGAGATACCTTGTTGCAGCTCAGTGCTCATGTTTTTATGAAAAGCTTCATCTGTTTTGTTTTTGATGGCAGGCCTGACTCTTGCCAGGCTGTTCCCAGAGAACCTCTGATTTGAATATAAGCAAGGATGTGTGGATTGACTCTAAAAGGGCAGAATGCCGTGTTCTGCACAGAAGGTAGGAAGAAAGGCTTTTTGATCTTTTCATGAACAGTAACACCTCCATCCCACACCCCAGAAATGATTTCACTTAAAAAAAAAAAAAAAGATTTTATTTATGTGGATGAGTGCTTTGCTTGCATGTGTGTGTGTGTGTGTGTGTGTGTGTGTGTGTGTGTGTTGATTTTATTTATGTGGATGAGTGCTTTGCTTGCGTGTGTGTGTGTGTGTGTGTGTGTGTGTGTGTGTGTGGGAAGTCACGGACGTTTCCTTCCCAGATGATAATAGGACCTCAGGGCACTTCCTAGGAACTGTCACCTCACCCAAGCACTAGATAACACGACTTCCTCCTTCCTGTCAGGAGCTTCTACCTCTCTCCCACCCCTTGGACCTGCTCATAGAAAGGTCAGCTCTTGGAGATCTTTCATGTTTCTTCCTTGAAACTTGTGTGAGGTATTCTGCTTCATAAAAGACAAGCCTGAGGTTCCAAGAGGTTAAGAGACGTGTGAGTATGTGTGAGGTATGTGTGCGCTAGGTGTACGTGTGTGGGGGGCGGGGTATAGATGTACAGTACCAGCTGTCTTCCTCTATTACCACCTTACGGTGTTTTTGTTTTTGTTTTGTTTTTTTGTTTTTGTTTTGCGAGACAGGGTTTCTCTGTGTAGCTTTGGAGCCTATCCTGGCACTCGCTCTGGAGACCAGGCTGGCCTTGAACTCACAGAGATCCGCCTGCCTCTGCCTCCCGAGTGCTGGGATTAAAGGCGTGCGCTTTTTTTTATTTCAATTATCCACTCAAGCACTGTCCAAAATTACATAATAGTCCAGTATGTCTAAAAATGTATAATATTCTAAAATAAACAACTCAGAAGTTTTAAGATGGGTGTCATTCTGAGTCAGGTGATGAAGTCACTTCTTGTCCCAGCCTGCCCTGCCTGGCATATGAATTATCTGTCCAGATTCCATGCTGTATATGTCACCTACCATCACTTTAGTAGCTGTCTCCATTATTGCATTGACTGTCAATGTATTGCAATCCCTATGTTCAAGCAGCCCTTATTTACCTAGAGACATCAAAGCATAAGAATACTTGCTGGCATTGGGGCATGCCAAAGATAAGCCATAAGTTGTTTCTCTTAAGTGAAAAGGTGAAAATTCTTCACTTAATAAGAAAAAAATCTTTGCTGAGGTTGCCAATATACAGTGCAATAAGATATTTTCGAAGAACTGAAGCAGGGGAATCACAAAGTGGGATCCAGCCTGGGCTACAGAGCAAGACCTTGACTCAAAACAAATTTAGTTTTTCAAAGCTGGATTCACATACTTTTGTTATTATTGTACACTGTCATAATGGTACTACTATTTTTAATCTTTTACTGTGCCTAATTTACAAATTAAACTTGGTCATAGATACATAAGTATGGGAGAAAAACAGTATGTATAGGCTTTAGTACTGAAAGGAATAGCTTCAGCTCTGGATCCCCAAGAACAACAAGTTCTCAGCACAGAGGTAATTTATTTGCCCCAGAGGGATGGAAGGCAGGGAATAAGAGACAAAGACAAGAGACAGGTATTTGTGCCAGAATAGGGGGACAAAGGACTGCCTCTAGCGAGAGAGGAGACAGACATGACCTATAGGAAAATGGCAATTTATAATGGTAAAAGGGGAAACCCCATGTTAGAATGAGGTGTTTAATTTTAATTGGGCATGTTAATTAGGTGAGCCAAGGGGGGCTTTTGATTGATGGACTTCAATATTTTGATAGCTGAACCTTAGCAGTCAGCCTCAGGAGGAGGGAGCAACCAAATAAGGGGATAGACCTTGGGGACTAGCTTTAGGGAACATAATCTAATGGTTTTTAGCAGGCAGAGGGAATCAGGGAGAAGGGCAAGGCCTGCCAGAGCCATGTTTGCTAAGCTCAAACTAGCTAGAGTCCCTTCAAATACTATCCAAATACAGCTCCAAATATCTACTGGGGGTCTTGAAATAATTAAAATATAATATGTAAAAACAGATAAGAGGGCTGGAGAGATGGCTCAGCAGTTAAGATCACTGACTGCTCTTCCAGAGGTCCTGAGTTCAATTCCCGGCAACCACATGGTGGCTCACAACCATCTTGAATGAGATCTGGTGCCCTGTGCTGGCATGCAGCATACATGCAGGCAGAAGACTGTATGCATAATAAATAAAATAAAAGCAGATAAGAGGAAACTACTATACTCTTCTCTCACTCTGCCTCATCCTTAGCCAGTGTGCTCTAGAATATTCAATCTTAAACAAATAATGAGAATGTACAAAATCCTGGGCATGTATGTTAATTCACCTTGCATTACAGTAACATCACCAGATGGAAGACATAGCCAGAGAGGTTGAAAAACTTGCTGAATGTATACATCTAGTAAACGACATACAGGAGGGATAAACAGGAATTAAAAAGAAACCAGCATGGCCCATGTGTAGTGAATGCCTTTAATCTTAGCAGTGAGGAGGCAGAGGCAGGTTGGATGGCTCTGAATTTGAGGCCTGGTCTACATACTGAGTTCCAGCCAGCCAGGGTTACACAATGAGAACCTGTTAAAAAAAGGGAGAGAGGGAGGGAGAGGGAGGGAGGGGGGGAGGGAGGGAGGAAGAAGCAATAGGTGTAGACCTATGTGAAGCAGTAGTTTCTAGATGAGTATATTTTGCTAAAAGTCAGACAGTTTTTTTCTATTCTAGGCCCAAATGAGGGGAGGGAAAAGCAAAGCTTCAATTTGTGTGTTCCCCTCTATTAAAGGAGCAGTGCAGAGTTGTCTTTGCTTTTAACTTTCTTTCTTGACAGAATGAAGCAGATCAATAGCACTGCTCAGTTGCTGTAGCTCCAGTACACAGCTGTGGCATCTGGTCTATGAAGCACTAAGCACTGATACTGTGAAGGATTTTTGTGTGGTAATATCAGGCCCACAGTGCAATTAAAGGGAAGTAAGTGAAACATTCTCCCTTCCCTCCA